GTCTCTCTCTCTCCTAGAAATAAATTTAAAAAAAAATTAAAAAAAAAAGTTGAAAGAAATTATTACAAAAAGTCTGGACGGGATCCCTTTATGGATGAAGGAAGAGATGAGCTCTGTTAATAATACAGGTTGTTTCTAAGACACTGATGGTGTTTCTTTCTTCCTTTTTTCTTCAAAATTATATTTAAATTCTAGTTAGTTAACATATAGTGTAGTATTGGTTTCAAGAGTAGAATTTCATGATTCATCATGTAGGTATGCAGTGTTATTTCTTAATCTGGGTGATGTTTTGCCTTTATAATTAGTCTTCAAATTCTGTATGCGTTTTCATAATCTTCTATGAATAAGTTCCAATTAAGAAAAGTTAATTTAATTTTTTAAACTATATGCTATTAGTTGTTCTAGTACCATGTGTTGAATAGTACCTCATTTACTCAGTGATGCCACTTTTCAATTATAGCTAGTATTTATAAAATTTAAAGTGACACTAAATTCAACTGGTAACTTGATAGTGGATTAATATTTGGTATATATATGTATATATATGTAGAACTACCCCCAAATCAATAAACATTTCTCAATTAGCTATAGGAAAATGACAAAAGATAGAAATAGTCATTTCTCAGAGGAAGAAAAATAAGTGCCCCCAAATAATATGTATATAATGTAAACTTAATCTGATAAAACCCAGCATTCATTTCTTACAAGACTGTTTCTTTAGAGCAGTTTTAGATTCACAGAAAAACTGAGCAGGAAGTACAGAGATTTCCCTAAACCTCCTGCCCCTACATGCATATGCTCCTCTATTATCAACAGACCCTCCAGAATAGATATTTGTCTCAATTGATGAATCTGCATTGACATGTCATAAAACCCAAAGTCCTTAGTTTACATTAGGGTTCACTCTTGGTATTATACATTCTGTGACCTTGGGCAAATATAAAATGACATGTTCCCATCATAATAATATCATACAGAGTATATTCACTGGCCTAAAAATCCTCTATGCTCCTCCTATTCTCCCTCATCCCAAATCCCAAACCCAACCCCAGGCAAACACTGATCTTTTTACTGTCTGCATACTTTTTACTTTTCTAGAATGTCATACAGTTGGCATTGTACACTGTGTTGACATTCCATATTGGCTTATTTCATTTAGTATTAAGCATTTAAGTTTACTCGTTTTTTTTTTTATGGCTTAATAGCTCATTTCTTTTTAATGTTGAATAATATTTTAATGTCTTGAGGTACTACAGTTTTATTTTATCCATTTACCTACTGAAGGACATCTTAGATGCTTCCAAGTTTTGGTAATTATGACTAAAGCTGCTCTAAACATCCATGTGCAAGTTATTGTGTGAACATAGGTTTTTAACTTCTTTAGGTAAATATCAGGAAGTATAATTGCTAAATCTTATGATAAGAGTATGTTTAGTTTTATAAGAAACCACCAAACTGCCTTCCAAAGTCACTGTGTGACTTAGCATTCCCACCAGCAATGAATGAGTTTTTGTTGCTCCACATTTTCACCAGTGTTTGGTGTCAGTGTTCCAGATTTTGGCCATTCTGATAGGTGTGTAGTAGTATCTCATTGTTTTAATTTGCATTTCCCTGGTGACATATGATATGTAGAATATTTTTGTATGTTTAATTCGCATCTTTATATATTCTGTAACATTTATTCTTGATAAAAACTCTACCTTGGGGGCACCTGGGTGGCTGAGTCGGTTAAGCGTCAGACTTCAGCTCAGGTCATGATCTTGCAGTTTGTGGGTTTGAGCCCTGCATTGCGCTCTCCACTGACAGCTCAGAGCCTGGAGCCTGCTTCAGATTCTGTGTCTCCCTCTCTCTCGGCCCCTCCCCTGATTACGCTCTGTCTCTCTATCTCTCTCTCAAAAATAATCATTAAAAAATTTATTTTAAAAAACTCTCTACCTTGGAATAGAAAGGAATTCTTTAATGTGATAGGACATATCTGTTGAATCATGTAGCAAATATAAATGCAAAGGTAAATGTTAAAATCAGACCGTAAAATCAAGGATAGAATAAAAATGCTTGCTCTATCGAGTTACAAGCCTGTGGGGTTTCTCAGATTCCCTTGACCCTGTTCTTCCCTCTTGGTTAATACTTCTCTGTTTTCAGACTTGGGCAAAATACCACATAGCATGAGACATGGGATCTGGCTTCCAGTGCAGCCACCAGATAATACAGATCAAAAGTTCAATCATTAATGGACTTTGGCCAATGAAAATTGAGGAACAGAAAGGAGCTAGATAAATACTCTCTCTCTCTCTCTCTCTCTCTCTCTTTCTCTCTCTCTCTCTTTCTCAACAAGATTTTTACATGTAGTTCTCCTTTTCTGGGATAGCCCCACTTATCAAGATAAGACATCTAATGAATAATCTACTAAGTCTCATTGTGACTCACTGTAACACATTATATTTATTGTAGGTTGCTTTGTTTTGCTTTGTTTTGTTTTCTTTTTGTTGGTTAACATCTTACTTGCTTCATTTCTTATTATTTGTCACTCTTCCATGTGGGCTTTCACCTTACTACACTGTATGTCAACTAGCTTGAATTTTTAAAATAATTTTGATAATAAAATAGGTAAATAAGAAAAGATATAAAAAGCTCCTCAGAGAAATGCAAATTAAAACTACAATTCCATACTATTTCAAAATATATGAGATTCTCTTAAAGTTTGAAAAGTTAAGAAATGATGGTGAACACTTGATAATGGGAACTCATATATTTCTGGTGGAAGTGTACATTGAAGTCTTTTTGAAAAAAAATGAATTTAGCTTTATCTAGGAAAGTTGAACCAATCTATTCCCTACAATTCTTTTTAAAAAATTTTAATTCCAGTATGATTAACATACTGTGTTACATTAGTTTCAGGTGTACAATACAATGATTCAACAGTTCTGTACATTACTCAGTGCTGTTTATGTTAAATGTACTCTTAACCCCTTCACTTATTTTGCCCAACCCCCGCCTCCCCACCTCACCTCTGGTAACCACCAGTTTTTCTCTAGTTAGGAGTCTGTTTTTTGGTTTGTACCTGTTTTTTTGTTCATTTGTTTTGTTTCTTAAATTCCACATATGAGTGAAATCATATGGTATTGATCTTTCTCTGACTGACTTATTGCACTTACCATTACACCCTCTGGATCCAACCATGTTACTACAAATGGGAAGATTTCACTCTTTTTTATGGTGGAATAACTTTCCATTGTGCACATACCACCTCTTCTTTATTCATCTATCAGTGAACACTTGGGTCGCTTCCATATTTTGGATATCGTAAGTACTGCTGCAGTAAATGCAGGGGTGCATATATATTTTCAAATAGTGTTTTCATATCCTTTGGGTAAATACCCAATAGCTCAGTTACTGATTCTAATGTAATTCTATCTTTAATTTTTTGAGGAACCTCTATATTGTTTTCCAGAGTAGCTGAAACAATTTGTATTCTCACCAACAGTGCACCAGGGTTGCTTTTCCCTGCATCCTTGCCAACACTCGGTGTTTCTTGTGTGTTTGATTTTTGCCATTCTGATGGGTGTGAGGTGATATCTCTGTGATTTTGGTTTGCATTTTCCTGATGATGAATGATGTTGAGCACCTTTTCATGTGTCTATTGGCCATCTGTATGTCTTCTTTGAGGAAATTTCTGCTTATGTCTTCTGCCCATTTTTAACTATATTGTTTGGGTTTTTTGGTGTTGAGTTGTATAATTTCTTTATTTTAGATACTAATACTTTTTCAGACATGTCATTGGCAAATATCCCCTCCCATTTAGTAGTTGTCTTTTAGTCTTATTGATTGTTTCTTTTGCTGAAGCTTTTTTTTTTTAGTAGCTTTTTATTTTGATGTAGTCCCAATAGTTTATTGTCACTCTTGTTTCCCTTGCCTTAGGAGACATTTCTAGGGAAATATCAGAGAAATTATGGCCTGTGCTGTCTTCTAGAATTTTGTGGTTTCAGGGCTCACATTCAGATCTTAAATGCAGTGTGAGTTTATTTTTGTGTTTTGGTGTAAGAAAATGATACAGTTTAATTCTTTTACATGTAGTTGTCCAGTTGTCACCACACCATTTGTTGAAGAGACTGTCTTTCTCCCATTGCATATCCTTGCCTCCTTTGTCATACATTTATTACCCATATAATTGTGGATTTGTTTCTGGACTCTCTGTTCTATTCTGTTGATCTATGTGTCTCTTTTTGTGTAAGTACTATATTGTTTTGATTACTACTGATTTTATAGTCTATTTGAAATCTGGGATTATGGTATCTCCAGTTTTATTTTTCTTTTTTCAAGATTGCTTTGGCTATTTGGGGTCTTTTGTGGTTCCATACAAAATTTTGGATTATTTATTCTACATCTGTGAAAAAAGCTATTGACATTTTGATAGAGATTGCATTAAATTTGTAGATTGCTTTGGGTAATATGGACATTTAAAAATATTTGTTCTTCCACTCTTTGAGCATGGAATATCTTTCTATTTGCTTCTGTCATCTTGAGTTTCTTTTATCAATGTTTTATAATTTTCAGAATATAGGACTTTCACTCCCTTGGTTAAATTTATTCCTAGGTATTTTATTATTTGTGGGGCAGTGATAAATGGGATTATTTTATTAATTTATTCTCCTACTTTATTACTAGTATATAGCAATGCAACAGAATTCTGTATATTGATTTTGTAGCCTGCAATTTTAGTGAATTTATCAGTTCTAGTAGTTGTTTGTTGGAGTCTTTAGGGTTTTCTACTTATAGTGTAATTTCATATACAGATAGTGATAGTTTTACTTCTTCGTCACCAATTTGGATGCCTTCTATTTCTTGTTGGAGTGATGTGGCTAGGACTTCTAGTACTCTGTTGAATAAAAGTGGCAACAGTAGACATCTTTGTCTTGTTCCTGACTTGAGGGGAAATCTCTCTTTTTTCCCATTGAGGATGATGTTAGCAGTGGGTTTTTTCATATATAGCCTTTTTAATGGTTGAGATAAGTTCGCTCTAAACCTACTTTGTTGAGGGCTTTTATCATGAATGTATGTTGTACTTTGCCAAATGGTGTTTCTGAATCAATTGAAATGATCATATGTTCTTTTTTTAAAAATATTTTAAATGTTTTATTTATTTCTGAGAGATAAATACAGTATGAGCAGGGGAGGGTCAGAGAGAGATGGAGATATAGAATTTGAAGATAGGCTCCAGGCTCTGAGCTAGCTGTCAGCACAGAGCCTGATTGGGGGGCTCAAACCCACAAACCGTGAGATCATGACCTGAGCTGAAGTCGGATGCTTAGCCAACTGAGACACCCAAGTGTCCCATGAAATGATCATATGTTCTTGATTATATGTTCTTTACCCTTTCTCTTGTTCATGTATTGTATCACATTGGTTGATTTGTGAATACTGAACCACCCTTGCATAGGAATAAACCCCACTTGATTGTGGTAACTTATTTTTTTAATGTATTTTTGGATTTGTTTTGGTAATGTTTCTGTTAAAAATTTTCATGATCAATTTCATCAGAGATATTTGCCTGTAGTTCTCCTTTTTTGCAGTGTCTCTCTCTGGTTTTGGTATAAGGGTAATGCTGGCCTCATGGAATGAATATGGAAGCTATTCTTTCTCTTCTATTTTTTGGAATAGTTCGACAATAGTTATTAACTCTTCGTTAAATATTTATTAGACTTCACCTGTGAAGGTTTCTTGTCCTGGACTTCTCTTATTTGGGAGATCTTTTTTTTATTACTGAGTCAATTCCTTTACTGGTTATATGTCTACTCAAGTTTTCTATTTCTTCTTGATTCAGTTTTGGGAGATTATACGCTTCTAGGAATTTATTTATTTCTTCTAAGTTGTCCAATTTGTTGAGATATAATTTTTCACAATATTCTATTATAATCCTTTTATTTCTGTGATGCCAGTTATTTCTCCTTTATCATTTCTGATTTTACTTTTGAGTTCTCTCTCTCTCTCTCTCTCTCAGTGAGTCTGACTAAAAGTTTATCAACTAAATTGATCTTTTCAAAGAGCCAGCTCCTGCTTGCATTGATCTATTCTATTTGTCTTTTGGCTTCTATTTCATTTATTTCTGCTGTAATATTTATTATTTCCTTCCTCCTACTGGTTTGGGATTTTCTTTGTTCTTCCTTTTCTACCTCCTTTAGGTGTAAAGTCAGCTTGTTTATTTGAAATTTTTCTTGCTTCTTGAGGTAGGTCTTATTGCTATAAACTTGCCTCTTAAGGGGCGCCTGGGTGGCTCAGTCGGTTGAGTGTCCGGCTTCAGCTCAGGTCATGATCTCATGGTTTGTGGGTTCAAGCCCCGCATTCGGCTCTGTGCTGACAGCTCAGAGCCTGGAGCCTGTCTTCGGATTCTGTATCTCCGTCTCTCTCTGACCCTCCCCTGCTCACACTGTCTCTCTTTCTCTCTCTCTCTCTCAAAAATAAATAAAAACATCAAAAAAATAAAAATAAATAAAAATAAACTTGCCTCTTAAAATAGCTTTTGCTGCATCCCAAAGATTTTGGACCGTTATGTTCATTTTCACTTGTCTCTATGTAATTTTTAATTTCCTCTTTGATTTCTTGATTGATTGATCATTAATGTATTTGCGTTCTTTCTAGATTTTTTCTTACAGTTGATTTCTAGCTTTATAGCATTGTGGTTGGAAAAGATGCATGTTAAATGCACACTTGAAACCTAAGCGTATTCCATTGCTTGGGGATAGAATGTTCTGAATACATCTGTTAGATTCATCTGGTCCATTTGTGTCATTCAAAGCCACTCTTTCCTTATTGATTTTTTCTTTGGATGATCTATATATTGATATAAGTAGACTACTAAAGGCCCCTACTATTATTGTATTACTATCAGTTACTTCCTTTAAGTGTATTAATAGCTACTTTAGCAATTTGGGTGCTCTTACATTGGGTATATAGATATTTACAATTGTTATGTCTTCCTGGTGGATTGTACCCTTTCAGATTATGTAGTATTTTTCTTTGTCTCTTAGTACAGTCTTTGTTTTAAAGTCTATTTTGTTTAATATAGTTACTGTTACTCTGGCTTTCTTTTCACCTCCATTTGCATGATAAATGCTTTTCCCTCCCTTCACTTTCAATCTGCATGTGTATTTGGTCTGAATTGAGTCTCTTGTAAGCAGCACCTTGATGGATCTTGCTTTTTTATCCATTCCATTACCCTCTATCTTTTGCTTGAGCGTTTACTCCATTTAGATTCAAAGTAATTATTGATAGATATGTACTTATTGAGATTTTGTTTCTTGTTTTATGGTTGTTTTGTAGTTCTTCCCTGTTCCTTCCTTCTCCTGCTCTCTTCTCTCATATTTGCTGTCTTTCTCTAGTGGTTTACTTATATTTCTTTGTTTTTTCCATATCTGTTTCTGGTTTTTGACTGGTAGTTATCTTTAGGTTCATATATGACATCTAATGCATATAATAGTCTATCTTAAGATAAACTTAGATATAATAGTCTATCTTAAGATGGTATTCACTTATTTGAACCCATTCTAGAAGCACTAAATTTTTACTTCTCCCCTACCCTCCCACGTTTTGGGTAAATGTTGTCATACTTTATGCCTTTTTTTTTATAAGTCCCTTGATTGATTCTTAGAGATATACTTAATTTGATTGCATTTATGCTTCCTACTTTTCTTGTTCCTGCTTATGGTCTTTGCTACTTGAAGAATCTCCTTTAACGTTAGTTGTAGGACTCATATAGTGGTGAGGAATTCCTTTAACTTCTGTTTATCTCGGAAAGAAACTCTATCTCTCCATCTGTTCTGAATGCTAGCCTTGACATATAGAGTATTCTCGCTTGCAAAATTTTTTCCTTCAGCACTTTAATATATCATGCCAAAGTTTTTCCTGAAAATCTAGTAATAGCCTTATGGGACTTCCCTTGTATGTAACTGTTTTCTTTCCTCTTGCTGCTTTTAAAATTTTCTCTTTATCCCTACTTTTTGCCATTTTAAATATTGTCTATCTTGTTGTTGATGTCCTTGGGTTGATTTTTGTTGGGCTATCTGCTTCCTGGATATGGATATCTGTTGCTTTCCCAAGATTCGAGGAGTTTTCAGCTACTAATTTTTCAAATAAATTTTCTGCTTCCTTTTCTCTCTCCTTCTTCTGAGATCCCTATAATGCAAATGCTATTATGCTTATGATGTCACTGCGTTCCCTTAATTTATTCTCATTTTTTTAAAAAAATTATTTATTTATTTTGAGAGGGAAAGAGAGAGAGTGCAAGTGGCAGAAAGAGAGGGGGAGAGAGTCCTCACTCCCTCTGCTGTCCCTGCAGAGCCTGATGAGTGGCTTGGTATCATGAACCAGGAAATCATTACCTGGGCCGAAATCAAAAGTAGGACACTTAACCAACTAAACCACCCATGTGCCTCTGTTCTTTTTTATTAGTCTTTTTTCTTTCTCTTCTTCAGCTTGATTGCTTTTCATTACTCTGTCCCCCAGGTCACTAGTCCATTCTTCTGCTTCCTCTAATCTGCTACTGATTCCATCTAGCATTTTTTTGTTGTTTGTTTGTTTGTTTTGTTTTGTTTTTTAATTTTTGAGAGAGAGAAAGAGAGCAAGGGAGAGGGACAAAGGTGTTGGAGGCCAAATCCGGCATGTCCAGGGGTCCCTGAAGGATGGACGGTGTCGGCGAGAGACAGTGAGAGAGCCCCGGAGATTCTTTCTGATCACCAGGCAGGCATCTCTGCTCTGACTGGGGCTCCACTTTATTTTAAGTGTTTTTGAGATGGCACAGAAGTGGCATTTGCCTTAGACAATGATTTCTGACAACAAACTTCTTTGATATGTAAGAATTTCCCAGAACAAGACTCATGCATAACCTTTATCAATAGCCATTGAGGTAGGGGATTTAGATGCTTATCTTATGGGGAAGGAAGGCTTCTTTAGCATACCAGAAAATGTTTTTAGCATAAGAGGGTGAAGTTACTTCTCTGTGAGCAGGGGTCAAAAACAGGTCTTTCAGGAGATACCTTTGCTCTCATTATCACAAAAAGAAGAAGTTACTCAAAGGGTTCCTTCACAGGGAGTAGTCAGCATACACAAGGCCAGAAAATGCTACAGGCAGAAACAAATGGGTGGGGGTAGATATTTGCCCTTAACTCTAAATTAGGCTTTTTGCCTCAGGGCCAGACTCAAGCCCCCTTTATTATGTAAGTCTTGGATCTGCAAGACCCTTAGGAAGAGCCTTTTGACAATCATTTTTGGAAAGGCAAGGACATGCCTTTCCTTATGATCAATCTGTGTGGGGAATATTGGTCTGATCTGGAATATTGTGAGACCTGGTCAATACCAGCAGCCTCATTTACAACATGAGCCAGTAGTAGCAGAAGGAGATACCAGTTTCCTTGCTGTGACTGCCATCCAAAGAGGCTGGTGCGACTCCTGGCACAAAGGGAGAGAAAGAGAGAATCCTAAGCAGACTCCTCATTCAGTGCAGAGCCCAGTGTGGGGCTCTCTTCCACAATCCTGGGATCATGACCTGAACCCAAATCAAGAGTCAGACACTCAAGTAGTTGAGCCACACAGGCACCCCTCTGTCTAGTGTATTTTTAATTTCAGTTATTAAGTTCTTCAACTCTGATAGATTCTTTTTTCTGTTTTCTCTCTTTGTTGAGGGGCTCACTAAGATCTTCCACTCTTCTCAAGTCAGTGAGTATCTTTATGTCCATTACTTTAAATTCTCTATCAGTCATATTATCTCCATTTTGTTTAGCTCTCTTGCTGTATTTTGTCTTTTCTTCCATTTGTGACATATTCCTCTGTGTCCTCATTTTGTGTAACTATCTGTGTCTGTTTTTGTATTAGGAAAGTCAACCATGTCTCCTCCTCTTGAAAGTAGTGGCCTTATGAAGAATTCCTGCACGGCAGTGTCCCCTCTCAACAGAATCTGGAGCTTCAACGTGTCTCCTGTGCTGTTGCAGGTGTCCTACTGTAGTGGCTGAGCTGGATTTGCCTTCAGTTCATTTATCTACAATGGATTTCTTTGCCTGATGTGGTTAGGGTTTGATCCCTGTGTTATTAATGGGCCAGTCAGGATCTCCTTCGGCTTCAGGTGGGTCAGAGTAGGCATTTGCCAGTGCTTTGGTCACGTGGAACTGAGAGTGCTCCCCCTGTGTTGTTTCCTGAGAAGCTTCATGAGTTGGATGTGGAGGGCAGAGGGTGTCCTGGAGTTAGACCAGATGTCTGACCCCAGCCCACTGTTGGAGCCACAGGGGAGCTGGTATGTGTGATTATCTACCTCTCTCTCCAGGGCAGGAGTTACTCTGTAGTGGTGCTGCTTGCAAATTGCCACACTTGTGGCACTACTTTGGAAGGACTCATGCTGAGGGCATATTAGAGAGGGCATGTCAGCAGAAGAGCACAGGCACCAAGTGTGCTGTTAACAAGCTAGGTGGAGAGTGTGTGCACTGGTTTCCACACATATCCATGTTTCTAATCTGGGTGGGTAGGCAGGGGAAGGAAATGGTATTCAACAGCTCTTTTGTTCTTAGAGAAGTCTCCTAAAGATCACTTCTCCTCCATTTGTATGTTAGGGTCCTTTTATCCCTAGCTGCTTTCAGAAGTCTCTCTTTGTCCTTATATTGTGCCAGTTTCACTATGATATGTCGTGGAGAAGATTGATTCAAGTTATGTCTGAGGGGAGTTCTCTGTGCCTCTTGGACTTCAACGTCTGTTTCCTTCCCCAAATTGGGGAAGTTCTCTGCTATAATTTGTTCAAGGACTCCTTCAGCTCATTTCCCTCTCTATTCCTCTTCTGGAATTCCTATGATGCGGATATTATTCCGTTTGATTGTATTGCTGAGCTCTTGAACTCTCCTTTTGTGTTCCTTGATCCGTTTATCTCTCGCTTTCTCAGCTTCCTCTTTTTCTATAATTCTGTCTTCTAAATCACTTATTCTCCTTTCTACCTCTTCAATCCATGCATTGGATGCCTCCAGTTCATTTTGCATCTCATTTATAGCATTTTTTAATTCGTCCCAACTATTTTTAAGCTCCATAGTCTTTGTAGCAATAGTTTCTCTGATGTCTTCCATGCCTTTTTTCAAGCCCAGCAATTAATTTTATGACTATTGTTCTAAAATCTTGTTCAGTTATTTTGCTTATATCTGTGTTGAGCAGTTCTTTAGCTGTCAATCCTTCCTGGCATTTCTTTGGAGAAGAGCTCTTTCATTTCATTATTTTGGTTAGCTATCTATCTCTTGTTAGTTTTAAAAGCTTGTTATGTGCTCTGCACCTGTGAGCACTGCTGTACCAAAGAAGGCTCTTTAACTGTCCAGGGCCTGTCCATTCAGAAAGTGTTCTTTGAATGGTCTCTCTATTGGTCTCTCTTGTTGAGACCCAGGTTATTTTATTTTGCTACTCATAGTGGTATTTGGGACTCTCCACCATGTGCACTTTGGCTTGTTTCTTGAGGTAGCCGGCATTTCGACATTCAGGAGAGCACCACGGTGGGATAAAAGGAACTGAGTAACATCTTCCTAAAGCAGAGGAACTCCAGAGGGAAATGCTGGAGTCTGAAAGGCCAATCACTTCTCCTCCAGCACTGGGTCAGAGATTAATAAACAACTCTCCTTCCCATATACCACAGGTATTTTTCAAACTTCTGCTTTTCTACTACATCTCAGCAAGGCTGCTTATTATGTTGTCTCATAAGGGCAAAGAAGCCATTTCCCATCGCACTCTGGCTCTACCAGAGCTGAGACTGCTGATTTTTAAAGTTCCAGGTGTTAAGCCTCACTGATTGTAAAAACTCAAGAAGTTAAGCCCCTCTGCTTTTCAAAGGCAAATATTTTGGGGCTTTGTCTTCCCAGTGCAGGTCTCCATGCCTGAGGTCCCTGGCATGGGGTCTGTTCCTCTCCCTTCTCCATGCTTGCAGTGCCCTTCCTTCCCTCAGACAGATGGGTTAGTTTGCCTCCTGTGTCCACCCTTCATACCCTTTTCAGTGTGGCCTCTTCTCTACATTTAGCTATGGAGAGTCTGTTCTGCCAATCTTTGGGTAATTTTCTGGGTTATTTATGCTAATATGGATGTAATCTCGGTGTATCCATGGGTCAAGGTGAATTTAGGATCCTTCTACTCTCATTTTCCCCAGAAATCCATTCCCTACAATTTTATTCTGATATATTTTCCCTAAAGAGATTCTTGCATTTGTATAACCAAGAAATCTGTGCAATATGTGATATTCTTTAAAGCACATGGACTAAGGCAAGGCCCTCTATTTATCCAAGTTTATGGGCAAGAATACTTTGCATGATCATGAACACCATTTTAATCATTTATACCTTTTCTGATAAGTTGATCAATCTCCATATTGATAACCAGTCTATTACTCTTTTTCCAGACCTAAGGGTCTCTTCTTAGTCTTGATAATACTTTCAGGAGTTGAAATCCTGAGGTTAACTCCAGTTCTCAGGATTTGTGTCCTAATGTCTGTTTATCAATGTTTCTTGCACTGAGATTACTAAATCTCACTGGTCTTGAAATTTCCATAGCCCCTCTCCATCAGCCTACAAATGCTTAAACTTTCTTAAAATTCTATCAATTATAATGCCTGCTTCCTAAGTATTACCTGTTTCCATATTCTCTATAGTGTTCTGCTTTTCAGATGGAACTTGAACCCCATTTAAGTGAATCTATTTTCAGATTTCATTCTGTGTCAGTCTGCCACATCCCATTGCAGGTATTCAAACTGTGCAGGTCTACCTAATAAATTGAACATATTTGATGTAATAGCACATCTATCTTAAGACATAATACAAGTTAGCTTCCATATATCTACTTCATATTTGCATGAAATTTTAACATGCATTAGTTTTTGGTTGTTAAAAAATGAGCCTCATTATATAATTCAAGCTGCATTTTGTTATAAGACTCCTCAGGGGCATTATTGTAATCAGTTAGGAGTAAGCTTAACCAGGTCTTCTATAAATAAATTCTAATTCCTTCTTATTATATGGTTACATTTTAGCACTATAGTAATTCTTGTCCTCAAAGTTCAAAACATAAGCTTGATTTGTCAAATGTTAAAATTTTTAGACAAACTGATCATATGTAAGAGGTTTTCTTCCAGAGGTGATTCTTTTCTTCCCATCTTAGTTGATTGACAAGTGATTAGATTGGATGGAATATGAAACTACTAAATTTGCAAAACTGTTGACTCGCAGACAATCTCAAATGTTTGCGTGAAAGATAGAGAAGGAGAGATGTTTACAAATAAGAATCTAACATGAAAACTTGTAATTTTGTGTAAGTTAGCTGCTTTGGTGGGCTTAAGTCCACAATGAAAGATAGTGATCTTGTGAATGCACTGTGCTTTTTTATGGCTTTAATTTATACAGCCCATTCTTACCTTTTAATATAGCTCTTTAAAATGCATGATCATGAGTAAAAAGGCTTTCTCTAACTTAATCACAGCTTTTCCTGGCTCATTAAATCTAAAATAATATATACCAATATTCTGCTATAACTTATAAGTTGGAGATATTAAATCATTTTATCTTTTGTACTGCTATAAAAATAATTACTTTTTAATCTTCCTTTTCTAATACATACAAATAATCACTTATACAATTAAAATTATGTCTAAATACTTTAAGCAATATATTAACAGATAATAAAAAGTTAAAATATGGCCCAATGGTGCAAGCTGCAATAATTATTTCACAGAAATTATATGTGCCTTTGCATATAGAAAATCAGAATTAACCTACCATAGTATGATGGCCATTAAATATTTTCATATGTGATATCAAATACTTCATCATTGTTGGGCTTACATAGAAAAAGTAGGTACAATGTATACTTGAAACATGAATTTTAAAGATCACATAAAGAGATTTGGGGATTCTGAAATTAAAAGTGGGTACAATTTAGATTTCACTTTATAGCCAGAATGATTATATTAATGAGCATAGCTAATGATACAGTGAATTCCTTTCAAGTTCTAATTAATAATAAATGATTATAACAAGTAGCATTCATTCAGAGTGTACTGTGTCCCAGAAACTGTGCTCAGTGTGTGTTCTCATAATTGTCATAAAAATCATTTTACAGTTGGAATTGTTTTGAAGTTAAGGCAACTAAGTCTCTGAAAGTTTCAGTAAATCGCTCTGGATGAAAGGGAAAGTATAGGGCAGAACCAGGATCCAGAGAAGACTATATATTCGAAAATACTTTCTTTTTTCAACAACTACACCAAAATAATTTTCAATATTTTCTTGATTTTAATGATCATTTCTGTATTAGCTAGTTTGCTCAGGGAAGCCGAAGCACTAAGCATAGTACAGAATAAGAAATGTATTATAAGAATTATAAAATAGGAATGGCTGGAAAAGGGGCGCCTGGGTGGCTTAGTCCGTTAAGCGTCCGACTTTCGCTTAGGTCATGATCTCGCGGTTCGTGGGTTCGAGCCCCGGGTCCAGCTCTGTGCTGACTGCCAGCTGAGCCTGGAGCCTGTTGTGGAGTCTGTGACTCCCTTTCTTTCTGACCCTCCCCTGCTCACGCTGTCTCTCTCTCTCTCTCCTCTAGAAATAAATAAAACATTAAAAAAAAAAAGTAATGGCTGGAAAAAATAGTTCTGAAGGAGGTAACAGGTGATCAGATAAAACTCACCAAAGTCACTGACCAGGGATAATGAAGATACTTACTGAAAACTTGTTTGTCTGCTTGTGGTGGGCCTGCAGTCACAATGAGTTAGAAAGACAGGCAGTTGGGAAAAAAAATCTGAATGCATAGTGAAAGAGAAGTATGGATAGTTAGTAGAAGGAAGGAAATAATAGACATCAGTTTGTAAATAAATGAAATAGAGACGAGAAACTTTTCATGGAAAAGTGAAACCAAGAACTGGTTCTTCAAAAAGATAAGCAAAATTGGTAAACCCTAAGCCAAACTCATCAAGAAAAAAGAGAGAGAACCCAAATAAATAAAATCAGAAATGAAAGAGAAGAGGTAACATCTGATACCACAGAAACATAAAGGATTCTAAGAGAGTACTATGAAAAAGTATATGCCAACATAGTGAACATCCTAGACGCAAAACAAATGAAACCCACAAGGACCAACTGAATCCTACAAGAACAGTCTAGATTCCAGGTCTGTCAGTGCCTCAAACTCCAACAATGTGACTGAAAAGAAGACTGTGCTCTTCAGCACAGCTGTACACATGCCTGGTCTGGTGCCAGAGAAGGTAAAAGGCAAGATCTAGCAGAGGCTAGAGGAACTGATATTAGATTGCTGCCATCCTTC